TAGATATCTTTAGAATTTCAGATAGATAGTCTCACGCGCTGGAAATAAAAATGTTTTATTCCGTACAGTGTTGCCACTCCTCGCTTTGAAACAATCGAGTTTTTTAACCAAAAATTTATTAAATTCTACAAAATATGAAATAGATGATAGAACAAATTCGAAAGTCGAAATTCGGGCCTTCCAGGTGCCCATGTTCGAGTGGAGGACTACGTTATTCAGAATGGGATCGCTCTAGGTACCGTTGTTTTCCACAATGCGAGAAACATATATACATTCGTGCATATTCTTCTTTATTTAATTTTTTAATATAATACAAAGCGTTGATATCTGGAGGCAACGATATTTAGGAAAAGTAATTCAACGCTTTTAGTTATTCGACGCAAATTTCCATTTCGAGACTAAAAGCCTTTCTCTGCTAACACTCCTTTGGACTAATAATATTTACTGAAAAAAGCAAAAGAAAGAAAAAATAGTATTATTGAAAATCAGTACAAGAAATTTAGCAATAGTGAAATAATTACGAAAGTCTTATGCATAAGTTTGATTTGCATGTTGTTAGTACCTTCCTATTTCAAAGTAATTGTTTAGAAATGTACTATTACTGTTACATAAAACTCTGATATTATCATAGCAATGCAATACTTTTATTTACCTATAGAATACTTTAATTTACTTATACAACAACATGATACTTCAGAACTTTCATAAGACCCGCCAGTGGCCTAGCGGTAAACTCGCTGAAATCTGGTAGTGCAGACTTGGGTTCGATTCCAGATGGGTGGAGTGGCTGCATGGACGTTTTCGTAGTTTTGTTCATGTATAACGTGTATACGAGCCAGTTTTCCTTAGAAATCCCTCCACAAAGGCATCTCTACCCTTAAGCAGATAGCTTTAGTCTGCTTTTCCGCTGTCTCAATAAACCAAACCAAACCAGTCCAGATCATTCATAAAAATAAATCAAAGCCTGTTTCATTACATAAATGATTAAAATTTATGCAGTTATTAAACATAAATTCTAGTACGTCCTTTTCTCAGTCACAAAATATATGTTTGCCTCAAGTAAACAAGTATTATTTAAGCACAAAAAGAGTCGTAAAATTTTGCTTTATTTTGTGCGTGCGTAAAACTGTCAGGGTTATTTTATCGTGTTAAACACATCTGATTAAGAGATGACTTTAGTCGAAACAAATTTCTTTCGAAATCTTTTATCAGAAGTATATACTTGAGTAGAAATGCTTATAAATAAACAGTCTTTTTATATCTTCAGTTCATATATATACTGTAAAAACTTGTAGAGGTTATTTTAAGTTTATAACAGTTATTTTAATTTTTAAACGTGCTTTACTGTCTATTCTCGTTTCCCACCTACTATTCCTTACCAGAACATGTTTTTTATATCGCGTTACATTTAAATGAGGTAGAAAGAGTATTTAAAGCAAGGTTTCTCTTACTTCAGCGGAAGAGCATATGAGTCCTTAGTGGCGCGTGTTTGTAGTCAGACTACTCCATTGCGTAAAGCTAACAACGCTCGGACCTATTGTACGTGCCTGCTGATATTCGCCGGTTAATTTAATTAAGGGCCAACTACGTTAGATAATTTTGTATATCTTTGGCTAAGTTCAATTTAGTTTAACATTAGATACGTTTCTTGTTTTCTTATCTTGAGGTGAAGCCCAAGTGAAGGCTTTCTGTAACGCCGAGGAAGAGGCCATCTGTGTTCTTAGTTTGAGATAATAAAGGGCGAGTTTACTCCTTCTCAGGACTTTTCATTTACACATTTGGACTTAACGATGATCAACAAAGTTTTTGCTAAGTAAAGCATACACAACGGTAGTTAGAAATATTACAAACTCTTTAATTTCAGTTCATGCTACAGGATAGTGTGAAACTTAGAATGTAAACAGTAAGGGTATTTATGATTAAAATATATCTTATCACTAAATAATATATATAGATATATGTAACTAGATAAGATATTTTTAAAGTATTAGTTTAACAAGCCGCCCCCCTCCAAAAAAATCTGAAAGATTTCAGATTTCAAATTACGTCCAAATGGGCTTTTCTTTAACGCTTTATGTGTTACCTTTATTTATTAAATGTCATGTTCTTGGCACTTAAAACACAAAATTCAGTTCAGTTGCAATGTCGCAAAATAATTTTAAAATGAGCATATCTTTAGAATTTCCGATACACAGTTCCGGATAAAAAACTGGAGATAAAAAGGTTTCCCCCCTCCCGTAAAGTGTTGCCATTGCTCGCTTTGAAATCCTTGAGTTTGTTAATCAAAAATTCGTTAACGTTTTACAAAAATATGAAATCGATAATAAAACACATTCCAAATTTCAAATTTGTTCTTTCACATGCCCATATTCGTAGGAGGATTACGTCATTCAAAATTCGATAGCTCTATGTATCGTTGTTTTATCACAATGCGAGAAATATACATACATTTATGCAGATTTTTCATTATTTAATTTCTTCAAATATAATACAAGACTCTAACATTTGGTGGCAACAGTTTGAAGTGAAACGGACATTTATAGTAATTCAATGCAAAATCGCAAAACGAAAACAATAGTCCTTCGGGGACAAAGCTCCTTTGGACTACTAATCTAGAAACTATTCTAAGTTATGATTTTTTAAGCATAATGAAAACAAGAAGGAACCGTCCAGTTTGCTTTTAGACCAAAATTGTCCAGAACGAGATAAAATATTTCTTTAAAAAAATTTTGCCCCGAAACTTGATAAAGGAATCTCAGATTTCAAAGAACATATGTAATTAATAGATATAATCAAAATACACCAAACTTCCTATTATCTATTTAACGAATGTACGCCCGTCTTCTCCCAAAGTTTTCAGATATGTACTTCATTAAAATAAATAATTATAACTGTTTGAAGGAAATTCATCTCTTTTAATCAGTGAATCACGTTTCTAGGATTTAGAATGAAGTTAAAAGCTGAAGGTTAGTTTTATGGTTGCGAAACCAAAGGAGTCTTTTAAAGAAGAAAACCTGTATCGGAAAAAAGGTAACGGCAACAGGACGCTGTATACTATGGAAGTTTATTAGCCCTAATTTGAATTTGAAATTTGTTTTATTATCAGTTCGAGTTTTTGATTAACAAACTGGACGATTTCAAAGCAAGCAATGGCAACACTGTATGCACAAAACAAAAAAAAAAAAAAAAAAAAAAAATATCTCCAGCACGCGAGACTCTGTATCGGGGATTCTAAACATATGCTCATTGAAAAATTAGTTTGCGATATTGCTGTTGAACTGAATTTTATGATTTGAGTACGTAGAATATGATATTTAGTAAATAAGGTTAACACACAGAACGTTAAAAAACGCCCCTTTGGACGTAATTTGAAATCTGAAACCTTTCAGATTATTTTTTTTTATTATTATTATTTCTGCTTAAATTTCATAATTTCATGTGCGCCATAGCTATCCAAATTCAAACATCGAGCCTATTTAAAAAAATTCATTTTCAGTACTTGCATCACATTATAAGAATTTTCAGCGCAAAAAGAATGTCTCAAATGAACGACTGTGACATTATTTTATGTTTATTATAGAGCTACAAATATAAGAACCGCAACAAAATTGCTCTAGTAACGCAGATTTAAATCGAATGTAACTTCTAAAGTGACAAGGCTGTGTCGAGTCAAAAAATAATTTTCAAAATTTTAAGTTTGTGCCATTTTGCACTTCATCATGCTCATCTGAATCAATAAACAATAAATTCCAGATAGACCTTTTCCCCCATCCAATATATACTTCGCAGAAACAACACTTCCTTATATACCAGGGGTTCTTAACCTTTTTTGCTGCATGCACACCTTTAACTACAGCTAAACGAAGATCGCCCCCAATTCCAAAACTCGAAAAATACAATATACATTTATTTAAATAATTTAGTTTAGTTTTAGTCCAAAGGAGCAATATGCCCGGAAGGACTATTAATTTCATTTTGGCATTTTGCATTGAAAACTATAAACGGCGATTCACTTTTCAAATTGTTGCCACCAAATATATCACCCTGTATTATATTTAAAGAAATTAAATAATGAAGAATCTGCCTGAATGTAAGTATGTATCTCGATACTCAGGTACAACGGTACCTAGAGCCATCAAAATTTGAATAACGTAATCTTCCATAGAATGTGGGCATGTAGAAGCACTAATTTGAATTTGAAATTTGTTTTATTATCGATTTCATATTTTGCAACACTTCAAGCGAGCAATGGCTACACTACGAAAAAAGAAATATCTCCAGCGGAGACTCTGAATCATAAATTCTAAAGATATGCTCATTTTAAAATTATTTTGCGATATTGCTGTTGAACTGAAATTTATGGTTTGAGTAGGTAGAGCATGATATTTAATAAATAAATGTAACACACGATACGTTGAAAAAAGGCCCCTTTGGATGTAATTTAAAATCTGTAATCTTTCAGATTTTTTATTTTTTAAATGTGTTTTAAAAATTAAACAAGAAAAAGCATAGAAAATGTTAATAAATACCAAAACGTGAAAATAGTTTTTTTTATGTTCTTAAAGTAAAACTATATAGTTATGAGATAAATAAAAGGCTGGCCGTATTTCTTCCTCCTCCTAGCACCCCCCCCCCAGTTGAGAGCACCTCTTATATATTTTAAATATAAGGGATGTACAGATGGCAAAGTACAAAACCCGGAAGACATATTCATGTTGCAAAATTTATACCAACAATAAGATTTCTAGTGATTTTAAATATAGTGAACGTTTGCTACGATAGTGTTAAAATAACCTTTGTTTTGTTTGTTCCCTAATAATTAAATTAATGATCCTCAAACGAACGATATGTAATTACCTGACACGGCGGAGCTTTATTTATCCCTCTAGGGAAAATACTGTATAGTTTCTCCCTTAATTAATTCATTCCAGAAATGATCAGTTTCCTGTACAGTGAACTATGGTAAAGCTTTTCCTTATTTCTTTCTTTCACGTGATGTTCTTTCATCAACTAAACATGAGGGTCAACATCGCTTCCTGCTTTTTTTATGAGCAACGTGGGGCACAAGAAAGGGAAAATGGAGGATTTCGCCACTTCCTACACCTCTAGCCGAGTTTATGGTAAACCAATAAGGACTTCCTACAAAGTAGGGTTTTTTTTCTTTTAATTTACTTATGTCAAAAGATTCATGTTTTGGGAGATCACTTTTCCATCTCAAGCAGGAAGTTTAGATCATATTTCATAAAACTATTTATACTGACGTTTAAACAATAGGAAAAGAAGAATTACTAGTAGTTTCGAATGTCAGTATGTTCTAGAATTTAACTGTTAACAACTATTTTGTTATAATTTTTAACTGCTGCAACGAAGTTTTATGTACTCTGCTACCGAAACCTTCAAGTGTTATAAAACTCATACCTCCATTTCGCGATATTAAATAGATAAGCATATTTTTCTATCAATAGTTAAAACGAATTTAATGTTTTATTGTAAATTTTAAACAAAGAAACTATTAATAACTGTGCATAACTTACTTTATTTATGCATTCTAGTACAGAAGTTCTATGGAAAATAACTATATAATAAGCCTCGAAGCAATTTTATTACTCATCGACTAAGTAAAAGAACCAAATACTGCAATCTTCAACATAAGATATAACATCTGCAAATAAAAAAAACTTGAACATTAAAAGTTTCAGTGAGACTTCAGGAAAACAGGAACCGGAACCAGATATCTAATGAGGGGATACTCATGCCAAATTAATATATAACTAGACAAGAAAAAGTAACTTTTGAATAGAACTCTATCGAATTCGAGATCGATCACACAGGTTTTTCTTATTCATAAACAAAACAGAAACCTTGCATGAAATTTTGAAAAAATTAGAAGAGACACCCTTCAGGCAAATGATGCTTGGAGGTCATTGTTAAAAATTGGCTATCCCAGATTTCTTATCTCAGTATCACAAAAACATTTTCAGGCTTGCCCTGGAAAATGCAGTTTTATGTTCCTCGTAGATGAGGTATTTTGATTGCAGTACCGCTAATTTTCATACTGCAGTTCTACTCGGCAGTTTTTATTTGGCATCATATTCGAATTTTTGCAGATTGGCTTATTTTTGAATGAGTTATCTCTACTTCTGTGGCTTTTTCCTTAATTTTTGGAAATCAGTATATTTGGCGATTTTAGATTTGCGCCAAGACCTCAGCTATAATATCACCAAGCTCGTGAAGCGCGAATGTAAAAATAACAACAATAATACTCACATGTCGTTTCTTAAGAATATTTTAATAATCCTTTTCCTTATTATTATTTGAAGAAATAAATGAGCCTAAATAGATTGTAAATAATGAATTTTTGCAGAGTTAACTTAAACATAGTTGCGTGACAGGTGACAGGTGACGGAGGACGGGGACGCCTGGTGTTTAACAGAGGTAAACAAGCATATGTCCCGCGCCCTCCCCTATCTACCGGGGGGTTTATTGAGATCTTAAAAGATTTATTACATTGCCATACAGGGGCAGATGAGAGATACATTGGCTATTTATATTGTATTACAGATTTTAGGTTTGCAAGGTATACGTTACATAACATACTGGTTACACATTTAAGAAAAAAAAAAAGAAAAAAAAAAATTATTAACATAAACACATACATGACATGACACATAAATACTATTAATAAAGAAGGTACATGCGCTTAGCAGAAGGAAGATACTGTATTTCCTTAGATGCAGAGGAGTACTTACATTCACTTAAGACCCTGAATTAGTGGGGTTGGCATAGGTCTTGCCCCAGGGCGGTTATCTGGCTGATTATTCTGCAGATGGTATTCACTGTGCCTTTGTTATTAACGATGAATCGTTTGAAGGCTATTTGGTTGTCTGCTGGCAAGTGGAGGTGATTATCCTCCGTGAGCGGGCATTCAAAGATGTAATGGTCTGGAGTTCCGAGCGACCCACAGACGCACAAGCCTGTATGAGAGATACCAAATCGCTCAAAATAGGTGGGAAAGGGCCCGTGCCCCGAGATGTAATTAGTGATGGGAGGTATGGAGTATTGGCGCTCCATTTTCACTCTAGGCAGAAATAAATTGGTTCTGCGACCCGTATCACAGGTCTCCCATTCAGCTTGCCACTTCTGCAGACCTTTTTCCTTAAGAGTTCTCTTGAGATACGAGGTGGCGCTGGAATAGTTACCATCTGTGCAGCTATGTTGCTTGCTGCCTCCTTTGCCAGTTGGTCAGCTGTCTCGTTACCCTCGTTGTTAACGTGTGCCTTAGTCCATATTAAATTTACAATTAGTTGAGGATGTGATTGTAGAATATTCTGGAGGTCCGCTACCAATGGGGAGGTGTGGTTATGGTTGACTAGGGCGAATAGCGTTGACATGCTATCTGTAAACAGCATTGCATCGGTGATCCCGCTGTCAATTGCATGCTGAATCGCAGTGGTAATGGCTATGACTTCAGCCTGGAATGTACTGTTTATTGGTTGAAGATGCCCCTTCCACTCGATTTCCTTGCATCCTCCGTGGTACAGGACGAAGGCACTACCTGTACCCTCGTCGAGCTTGGATCCATCTGTATAGTACTGCATTGGGTACCGTGGATCCTGTATTGTAATTTGCTCGCCACTTCTGCTGACGTGAATCCTTTATATTTCTTCCCTTGTGCGCAGGGTGCGTCTCCAGGGTATTCCTTGGATGCTCATACTGAACTGGACTATAAGTGTTTCCGCAGAAGGTAGCTTCCTTCTTTAAATGGATAACAGTAGCGTAAGCAGCTTCAGTTTCTGCGCGTATGTGCAGTGGCATTAGACCAGATAATACCACTGCTGCACTAGTGGCCGTTGTTCTGTAGGCCTTACACAAGAGTAAGGCGTAAGGTCGTTGTATAATTCCCAGCTGTTTGACTTTTCTACCACTCATCGGATTGGCCCATATTGCTGAAACGTAAAGGGCTATTTTCTCTGAGACTGTGAGATAAATAATTTTCTGTATGTGGGGATTTTGACCCCAGTTTTGCCCCTGAAATAGGCGGGCTTTTCTTGCTATTTCGGAAGTTCGCTCTTTAATACTTTGGAGGTGGGGATCCATTTTAATTTGTTGTCCCACAGAAGGCCAAGGTACTTCAAGGTGTTATTAATTTTAATGTTCCTCTGCATTAACTTGATGCATGGTTTGCGTCTCAGGTTGGCTCTTTGCTTCGGTATGATCAGGGCACAGGACTTTTCAGCAGATAGTTGAAGTTTAAGTTTGCCGCAGAGTTCTGCAAATAGTGCACAAGACTCGGTGCCATTCTTCTCAAGCTCGTCGCGGGTTCTTCCTTGTACTAACAATGCGGCATCGTCAGCGTAGGCGACGATGGACGTATGTCTTGGCCATGTGGCCTCCAGGATGGCGTTGAAAGTAATCGTCCAAAGAATCGGTCCCGCACACGAGCCTTGCGGACAGCCCCTTTCTTGGTGTTTAGTAGTAACTCCGTTGTTATGAGTTATTAGTAGACTTCTGTCCTGCAGGTAGTGGCAGAGGACGCTGTAGAGATTGATGGGGCATTGCGCTTTCCTGAGTGCCTGCTTGATTGCTGGCCACCAGAGTGTATCAAAGGCACTCTGGAGGTCCAGCGAGATGAAGGCGGTGTGCAGGTTGCCTGATCTATTCCTTTGTATTTCCTCCAAGATAGCGTGCAGAGCATGAGTGGTGGATTGTCCAACTCTAAAGCCGAATTGTCTATTACTGAGATAGCGGCTGCGATGAAGGTGAAATCTGAGTCTATTGACTATTAACTTCTCATATTTCCCTAGGAGGTAGAAGATATTGGATGAAGTCCCTCTTTTAAGAGGGAAGTCGTCCTCTCTTAAAAAGAATAAAGATGCAGAAAATCCGGCTCCTTCAGGCCATAGCTACATGCAACATGCGACATGCGACGGAGGACGTGGGCACCACCCCTTTACCATATGGTTAATTGGTATAGCGCCAAAAAAGGGCGAAAAAGTAAGAAAGATATACATATACATACATACGTAATAAACAGTTACGTCATCATTCATCACCGCGCGAATAAACGAGAACGGCGCATGCGTCAGGAGAAGCTCTCATAAGCTAAACATCGTATTATAATTTATGATACAACATTATTGTTATTACTATTTCGCATGTAATTGTTCCAGTCAAATGCAACACTTTCACACATATTAAGCTGTATGTTACCCCATTTCATGGACGTCAGTTCCTCTGCCAAAGAATACACAAATCTATTAGCAGTGACGAACGATATTCTAGAACCGCAATTTTCAACTCGGAGGCCTTTCTTCTTTTCAGTTTTTAATTTTGCACTTTCAAATGCTTTTGTCGTTAGCATAAAGTATCGTGTTGTGGCCATTTTCGTATACTCCTTTGTCAGGTAAAAGAGGACTTTCTTGAAAACATGATGTGGCGTACATCCCATTACTTGTGATTGATCACGTGATCTTCACGTAAGAAAGCAATGAAAAAAATTTTCAAATATCCAATGCGAATTCGAAAGCGTCATCAAAAATGAATAATGTAAGAATAACGCAGCGAGAGCAAAAATGCAACACGGTACTAATGAAGTACCATTACGTGCGAGGTATAAGAGCACGCAACCGGTGTTAATATGCGGTTAATGAGGTATAAGGCATAAGAAGTCACGTGATATAAGGTATCACGACGTATAAGGTGTAAGAAGTCACGTGATATAAGGTATCAAGAGGTATAAGAAGAACACGCAGCCAAATTTTGGGGACATATTTTGGTTGACTGGCGATTCATCCCTCTGCGCGGCTCTAACAAAGAAGTACCGTTTATGATGAAAACATTAAGAATAAATATTATCAGTGGCTAACATTTCTAAGAATAAAGGTAAAATCTTCTAATACAAAGAAATCGGGAATGTTTTATTAATTGAAGACCAGCTTCTCGTTAAAGTGCTACTGATCCAAAAAGGAGCACTTCTATAATAACAACATATTTTAAATTCATAGCACATTACTAATTGTATGCGCAACATACAGAAGAGAAGTTTGTGTTGCATCTTTCCCTCCATCGTCCATTACTAGCTTTATAAAAAGTTCTGGTTTTTTGAGGCTACGCGCATGCG